ACGCCTCTAGAGAGATGTTTTCTTGTAGTGATTGTTTGTTATTGAGTGAAAAGCTACTTGACCTAAAAACCTAGCTTGTGATGGTGCAAATCCTTTTACAAACTCCTTTGAGTCGTACAATGAAATTTTTTGTTCCTTCAAATTAACAACTCTTAGCCAATTTTGAAAGGAAAAAAATGATCACTACCTTATCTTAAGGATAGCAAATCACATAAAAGTAATGGTATTAAAAAAATTAAAGTTTGGGAGAAAAAGAAAAAAAAAAGACATGTTTTGATAAAAAAAAATTAAATTAGTATTGGTGTAATGAAAGAAAAGAAAATGCTTTGACAAAAACAAATTCATAAATAAAAAATCAGGCATACAAAAGAAAAAAGGACGAAAAGAAATGGTTGTAAAAAAGTAGAAACAAGGAAAGAGAAACTTTTTAAAAGAATTTTTTTAAATGCTCTCTTATCTTTAGGATATTGAATTCAAAGAAAAACCTATATTTTCTTGTAATCCCAATCACGTTATAACCTAAAAAAAAGACTTTAGTGATTTATGACTGATGATATATCTTGTGATACTATTTAGATGAAATGTAAAAGTTTTTCTGTAGTACAAGCATTGTTTGATTTTTGGGAGAAATATTAATCATTCACAAATACTCAATGAGATCACGATCCTAATGAATTATTAAATGTTTATCTAAGATTGTTTTAAAAAATATTACTTTTGTGAAAACTATGGTTATGGGTAGTAATGATATACTGATAACTAACTTGCATTTTAAAGAATGTCATATCATAAGAAAAAACAATTTTCAAAAACTCTTGACCTGTGTTAGTCAACCCTAATAATGAAACATGCATTCAAAACTGTTATGAATCATCTGATTAATTTTTTTGAGAACAAACAAATAGATAAGTTGGAAAGAGTTGATAAATGTCAAATTGACATGAAATATATAGGCATTTATTAACTTATTTTTATAAACAATCAATACAAAAAACCCTTCAATTTATCTATGAAAAGTGAGAAAACACTGTTTTGAAATTTTCTAGTACGTATTAATTTAAAACATGTCAAAGGAATGGTAAACCACGATTCAACCCACAAAAAACAAACTAGAGAAAAATTGTAAAAGTCCAGGCTTGCTAGGCCCAATCATAAGGAAAAAGGCTAGATGGCATGTCCACATTCAAATGCTTCATGGTGAAGCATGTATTTGCATGTTAAGCGCATATACAATGCACTTAGCGAGCCAAGGCGGCTAGGGCCACCAATTAGATAGCTAGCATTGTTTAAAGGGAAAGATATCAAACTTGTTGGATGCAAGGGGGTACGCGTAACAAAGGCTCTAGAATTTTGTCTATAAATTGAAATTTTTCAATTATTTGCCAAAGGATTTTTTGGTGGAGTGAGATAGTATAGAATTGGAGTAGGTTCATCTTGGTCGACAACAAGAGAATAAGATAGGGAATTTGAAGACGGAAGTGCTGCTCAAGTGACAGGACAAGTAAACTTTCAAGATTAACTTCACGGGATTACCGACAATTACGATGTGTAAGTGTAGCTAAAATCACTTTATTAGAGTGCAAGATGTAGTCATTATATTAATGTACTAAATAAGTCCTAGCGTCCTATGTAATTCTGCGCATGCTTTAATATTGGCGACTCTTTAATCTTAATGTTTTATTAACTTTGCCACTTAAAATTTATTTTCATCGTGTGACCTGACATCGAAATGTGTTTTTCATTACTAGATTAAAGCATAGACATATAAGGTTAGATTCAATATTTACACGTCCTGTAGTATGGATTGACATGAAGTCTTATTGCTTTATGATTGTTGGAACTTAATGCTCTATGTTGTTTAATAGAATAGTATATTGGCTATTTGATAATGCATTAATATCACAATGCTGATATCGAATGGATATATGAATGAAAATAATAAGTGGTAATATTAATACTGAATAGATGAACATATTACTGGCTTATAAAAATGTAAGATAAATATGTAATAACAAAATCTACTCAAAACATGCTTATTTACTGTTAACACCGAAATTTTCATTTTACTTTTTATTATTTATGTTTTGTCATTTTCTTCCATGCATCACAGCAAATATACAACTTGTCTCTACTTAAAATGTTAAAAATTGTTGAATGGTTCTTGAAACCACTAGTCATTGTGAATATAATAAGTATAAAACTTACTTTTGATCTTAAAAATTGTTGAATTGTTCATGAAACCAGTAGTCATTGTGAATATAATAAGTATACAACTTACTTTTGTTTCACAACCAACAATATTCTAATTTGATTTTAATTTGTGCAAGAAGTTTTATTATTTTGATCTCCAATTTACCGTATTCGTATTAGTTTTTTTGTGAAATTAGTTAATTAACATGCTAGTAATTTGATTATAATTTGTAGTAGAATGTTATTTTTATGATAATCTCGAGTCTAGTAAAAAAAAGAGAGGAGTTCTTTTCATGGTCTTAAAGTTATTCCATATTTTAAGATTTAATGCAATTCCAAATGCTTTGTTAAATATATTGTCGTGCCATTAAATTATATGGTAATTATTCTATTAATTGGAAATTCATGCTTACTATGTTTTCATAAAGTGTTTGTTACATAATCCAAGATTCTCGTATCAACTTGTTGTAGTTATTTCATTATATTTTCTCAGTTTATGTGTATCATTTGACTGTATCACTTCTTTCAGTAGTCCAAATAAAAGTTCAAGTAAAAGAAAAAGTTATTTTGGCCTATTGAGTACTAGAATTACTTCTTTTTTTTTATAAGCAATGAAATTCAATAACAAGGAGAAAAAAGAATTCTCCAACCCGATACAAGAGTCAAACAGAATATAGAAAGACCCTAGGCACTACAAAAAATTAACCAATGGTAAAAAGAACAACTTCTATGATAATTAGACCCAAAGGCCAACCAATTCCAAGATAACGACACAATGCTAAGAAAAATAGACTCAACATTGCAAATAAAATCATTGAAGATAATATCGTTCCGAGCTCTCCAAATGCAACATCCACACCAAGACATGATCACAATAATTAGATTCTTGAATCCAAAGCAAACCCACCCATTGGAAGACTTTGATCCAAATCAATCTAGCTTCTGGACAAGATAGAAATAAATGATTATTATCCTCATTAGCAATTAAAAAAAAAAAGAAATGATCATAAAATTAAATATAAAAAATTGCGGGACCAAAATTAAGCTTATTTATTATTTACTTTTGGACCTAAATGGTAATTTTTTTATATAAGTTGTTTCTATATGTATTTTAATGCATTAAATTAGCCGTTCAATTTCTTTTTTTAATGATGTTTAAAATAAACAAAATTTATATAAAAAACAAAAACAACGAAGTGTCTTTTATTTAAGACAACAAGACACGTGGGAGAAAAACAGAAAGAAAATAAAAACCTATAAAAAATAATGGATAAAAACCTATAAAAAATAATGGATAAAAACCTATATAAGAAATTATCTAGTTTTATTTAATATCTCTTAATTCAATTCTTAATAAGATATTCTATATTGTAAATAAAAAATAATTTTATAAATACTTTCATAATTTAGTTTTTCTATATTTTTTTTTTGATAATCACTTTAATTTTATATAAGGGTCCAAAAACCCAAAGACAAACAATCCATACAAATAGATATAGATAACTCCACAATTTATAATTGGAATGATCTATTTTAATCCTCATCAAATATAAGTCCAATCTATTTCAAAAAATTCATTGAACTTTTACACCCTTCATAGTAATTACATTTTGGATATTTCAAGTTGGAAAAATCCAACCACCACTAAAAGAAAATTTATCACTCAAAACAAAACATCCTTCGAAACAGGTATAACATCATTAAATATAACTTGATTTCTCATCTATCAAATACATCAACAACAAATAAACTTAAATACATCCTTTTAACCTATTTAAAAAGAGTAAAAACATCTTATACTTTCAAATAGAAAAACAAAATAATCCAATTTCTCACATAAAGTCTTACTTATTCTTAAAATAGTTTTGCTTAAAATTGTGAGTTTCAAAATGTTTGAATATTAATTACAAATCTTACTCTGACACATAAAAATGATATCTATTAAAAGATAATACTACCTCTGGTTTTTATTAAAAGTCGTTTTGAGAAAATATTTTATGCTATAATATAAGTTGTTTTATAATATTCATAAATTATTAATGTTATTTTTTTATTATAACCTTAAATATTTATTATTCTCTTTCCTTTTAATTTTGTGAATTTGTGTTTTCAATATTACTAATAAATGATAATTTTTTATAAGCCTTCATAATTTCTCTTTTCAATAGCACATTTATTCCATTTCTTAATACGTGTAAAAAAATCAAAAACGACTTATAATAAAAAAAATAGAGGGAGTATAAGAAAAACTATTTATGAAAATAATTTGTTGTAAATATTTATAAGTCAGGGTTTATTGATATCACAAAATTTTAAAAATCTTATCATAAATCTTAATTGTTAATAAAAAAATGAATCAAACTGTCAAATAAAATTAAATAATTTTCTTTTAAAAATATATGATTTTTTATTAAAAAAATTATTTAAAAAAAAAAGAAATGATCATTTAATTCATTCTTATTAACAGTTAAAATTTAATATAAAATTTTAAATTTACACTATATATGTTAACGGATCTATATTAACAGTTAAAATTTAATATTACTTTAACAAATTTTACTTCAAAAAATATTATATATATTTACAAATAAATGTATAAAATAAAACTATCCAAAATTTAAATTATTAGAATTAACTAAAAAAAGACGGATTTAAGGTGGAACATGCTGAATGAATAGATACGCTTTGGCATATGGCGATTTTAGTGGGATAGGCTTTGGTGGACGGAGGATCCCAAAATCCCAACTCAACCCGTCATTTTTTGAGGGTGCGTGGGCCGGTACGGCAGACCACATCCAGTTTTACTACCCTTAGTTATAACCACCTCTACCGCCATAACCATAGCTTCCTCCACCATCATAACCACCATGATAACCACCATAGCCATCATTGTAACCACCATAGCCTCCACAGTAACTACCATTATAACAACCATAGCTTCCATAACCACCGAAACCTCCAACATAATATTTAGCACCATTTGCTTCATTTGACTTTTCGTCAGCCTCTGCAAATACATCATCATATCAATTTTATTCTTAAGTATATTTTATAACAAAGAAAGAAATCTCCAATATTGTAAAATATCTTTAAACTGCTAGCAAAAACTATCCCTTGCTAGTTTTACTAAATTTTAATAAAATAAATGTGTACTTATATTTTGGGGACTAATTTTTAAGAAAAGATATAGATAATTTACTCTCTTTGGTATTAGTGAAAGTCTTAGTAAAATCCCTAACTGACACCACTGCTGAAATAAGAAGAACCATGGCCAAAAGGCCAAGGATGATGAATGCTTTTTTGGAATCCATTGTACTCAACTGAAAGTCAAGTGAAATGTGATATTTTGGTAGTGAAGGATGTGAATAGTGGTAAGAAAGTGTGAACATATATTACGGAATCATGACTTGGTAGTTGAGAAGGAGTTAACCTATATTAATTCAATCTTATCTTTAAATTGTGAAATAATTGTTTTCTGATCTTGATTGATTTTGAGTAATGGAGATTGGAGGCTATGAAATGAAGCAATGCAGTTATTATGCATGCTAAGTCAACTTTATGAAATTAATAATTTAGATTTAGTCAACCCTAGTTATTTTACGGAGCTATTTCAAATGTGTATTTATTTACGTCTTTATATCCTCAAATGTCAACGTTATTAGTCAATTTATATCCTCAAATTCAACGTATTTGTCATTTTATTTCTCAAATATATTTTCATTTGTTAATTTCTTCATATATTAAAATTACTACACCATTAATTATCTCTTGTAACACTTACAAATTGTTGCTAGAAATGAAAAATAAAATAAAAAATGTTGTCTAAAAAAATATAGAACGATTTTCAAATATCTTTGATGCAAGCTTTACCTATATAGGCAACGTTGTTTTCTTTTTTCGGCCTACTATTAACAAACCTCGCCTAAATTAAGGGAATATGAATCATTTGTATGTGGCTTCTAAGACAATATTCTATAAGTGTCAGTTATATTTTGAAACAATTATAAAAGATTCCCTATAATAATAACATTTAAGTCAACATCTTTATAAATGTTTTCTATTGAATATGAATTACTTCTAATATCCGTTACACCCTAATTTTGACCTTGTTCCGCTTCCTGTACATATCATAGCATTTTCATCATTTGAGTATCATATTTATTATTCATGTCATCTACCATTGTACATGTAAAACTTGTACCTTTTGTTTTGTGTTGTCTAAGCCCGGGTCTTACAGGATTGAATCAAGGATCATACCAAGTTATCAAGACAAGTATGTGTGTGGTGTGGTGTGAAATTCAATAGAAATTTTATCGAAATCTTGGTCACAAAAATGGTTTATTTCGGTATCAAGTTATCAGTTGTGGCAGAAGCATTTTGTTTCAGGGTAGACAATCATCAGGGCCCGTTCACTTTCGATTAGGGTTTTGGTGCGTTAGCCGCAGTTCATATCTCAAGTCATCTGTGGTCAGTGGCTATTTTCAGGACAATAGTGGATTGAATTCAAGTACTTATGTTTAAGGATTCAGATCAGGGTTTTGTGCAAAGATTCAAGATACTTGATGAAGTGAAGTTGTAAAGCCATCAACAGTCAAGGCATTTCGTCAATACTTCAAGTCATTTGTGGTTCATGTTTCTTGTCATTCAATTCAAGGCCATTTCAAAGGCTAGGGGTGTCACTTATTCACGTCTTGTTTCAAGTGGTTCATTTTTAGCCATTTCTCAAGATTTGAATCAAGATTTCAAGTTTCAATTCATAATTCCATTGAAGTTCGATACATAACCTAGTTTAATTTATCATTCAAAATTCCAATTTCAAGTTTCACCTCGTGTCAGGTTTTCAAGTTTCAATTTCCGTTCAAATTCAAATTCATGTTAAGAGTTGTAAATATCATTCAAAATCCAAAATAATTCCAAAATCAAATTTCTTAGATTTTTGAACTCAATTCTATTTCATTCCAATATCATGCCCAATTCCAAATTTCATATCAATTCACAAATTCTATATTCATCTTCAATTTCATATTAACCTCAAGTTCACTTAAAGCTTCAAGGTTATTCAAAAAATTTCAAGAATTCGAATTTCATGTCAAGTTTCATGTGCCATTTCGAAACTGAATCTTCAAATTTTTATCAATTTACAAATCACAGTCCATTTCAAGTTCATATTCAAAATTCAATGCTTTGTCAAGTTTAAAACCCATCCCATAAATTTATGAACTCTTTTCATGTCAAGATTACGAGTTTCATTTGTCATCCAATTCAAAATTCGAGTCTAAATCTCATATCCATTCTAAATCTTGTCAATTCACAATTTGTTTTCAAGTTTTAATCGAGCTCAATTCAATTTCAAAATTCAAAGTTTCATATTTTATTTTAAATTGCAATTCTATTCATTGTTAAGAATATCAGATTCCAAATTCTATATTGTACAAGTCCAAGTATTTTTATTCAAAAAAAAAGAAGGAAAACTACAAGGCTCGTTATGTGTTTTTTAGTCCCATGTAGGATATCACCAAAAACAAAACAAGCTCATGAGAAATACACAATGCAAGTTATACAAGACTTTCCACCAAATTCCTAGTCAAGCTGTCAAATGTACATAGTCACTACACATGAAAATGACAAGGCCTGCTACCAATTTGTAGAAACACGTTGCAATACAAGGGCCCTAACCGTACAACAACATGGCTCTATCAGCTACAACCTTCATACCCACTATACAAAGTTTCAGTTGATACAAGCCTGCTACCCTCAAATCACGTTGCGACTACAATGCGGCCCACCTCCAAGCTGTCACCCGCAGGATAATTGCCAAAATGATGTAAAGGTTTCAAAACACCAAGTTGTTCATTACAAAAGTACAAACTGCAAGATTAACAACAAGCATTATTCCTAGCCACTCTACAATCCCAACAATTCTCTCCACTACCTCTCTTCAACTTTATGTGCTAAACAAAAAAAATGGATACAAGGCCACGCGTATGTACATATCGGCTTGCTATTACTCCACCCTGTTACACACCAGACAAGCTCTTCACCAAACCTTGCTATAGTAGGCTCTTCCACTACCCTCAAAACCACGCCTCAAAACCACAAAGGACAACCATAATCCTGCCTGTCACACCCTAATTTTTGACTTTAAGATTCCACCTTCTTGTGCATTTTCTTACATTTTATATTGTTGCTCTTGTTTACGTGTTTACCAGGGTTAACAAGTACGTGCAGGTTCATCTTGCCTTTAAAGACGTCGCTGGCAGGTTTTTAGTGCAAGATAGAGTGGTTTCAAATTCAAGGATAGTTCATATGTGTTTGAAATCCAGCAAGTGCAATCTAATCAAGTGGAATTTGATTTACGATGACAAAAGTTTAACTCGTTCTACTTAGGATTTGGTTTGGTCAGTCAAGAGTAAATCTACAAGTCTGAGAAACTGTCAACTTCCGGATTATACATGTCAAACAGAGCTAGTTTTGCTCATGAAGTGGGGTTATTACTTTTGGCAAGAAGTTTTAAATTGGACTTCATCGCTATGCTTCTAAGAATGGTCAAAGTCAAATGACGATGTTTATACTCTCAAATAGGAGCATACATAAACACATGAAAGTGCTAAAGTGTGTCAATTGTGTTTATGTATGCTCCTATTTATCTGCCTTTACTTTACCGTTATTTACCTTTCTGCAATTTATTTTATCGTATTGCATAAGCATCCAAAGGAAGAACCTGCGCGTAACGTAAAACTTGCGCGTATGCATTACATTTGCATCATACTCCCCATTGATCATTGATCCCGTTCAAGTCGATCTTCTAAGTTTATATCCTATCCATAAGGAGGACCTTTTATCTTTACAACTTAGACAAACACATTCAACAACTCAATTCAAACTATTCAAACGTATTAGAGAATAAGATGTTAATCTTCTTAAGCGAGATAAAACTCCTACCCCATAACAATTCAATCAATATGTAGGGACTTTGCCTTAGGAGAGATAGAGGTGTACTTGTTGACAATCCGAGTACTTGAGCCCTTCTCTTAAGACGATGCAAAGACTATTTTCCTACAAAGTTGTGGTGGTTAAATCAAGTACTCTCCCTTAAAATGACAACTCATCTTTTCTCCTAGACCCAATCAATCAACTACCTTTATCCCGTAGGAACTTTGACCACAGTCAAAGAAATCCTCAAACCCTTTAGGGGAACTACAGATACTCTGATTCCGTTCCCGTCAGGATATGTAAGCACAAGATGCGATATCTTGTCGAGTATACTTAGAAATAAACCCCTAGGTCTTTCAATCCTTAAGCAGATAACCCTTAGCAATAAACAACATAAAACATTTAGACTCTCCAGCAACCATTGAAAAACGATGCCAAAACTCTGAAAAATGTTGCCTAAAACAATAGGGGATATTTTTTAGGTGTCTCCTGTGCGAGCGTTGCCTATTGTCTAAGGGGACGTTTTTTTCATGATCTTTGGGCACGATTTTTAAAATGTTGCCTAAATAAAAGGAATAGGGGACGATTATTTGTCGCCTCTGAGGCGACACTTTTTAAGTGTTGCCACAAAAGGAATAGGGGACAATTATTCATGGCCTCTGAGGCAACACTTTTTAACTGTTGCCACAAAAGGAATAGGGGACGATTATTCGTGACCTCTTAGGAAATGCTTTTTAAGTGTTGCCAAATGAGGTTACACCCACCTTCTGAATCAAGATGATTGTTTTTACTGTGTCCCCCATAAAATTTACAATTTTGTAATTATTTTTTAAATAATATAGTTGATGATGAATGACTTCAAAAAATAAAAATTATAACTTAAACAAGATCAAATTTAACCGTACATCCACAAAATTTGTATTATAATAAAATCGAGTTCAAACATTAATTCAAGAGAGTAGCCAGTAAACAAAATGCGTAACATGATATTACTTATAATAATAAGTTTAATACTTTGAAGTATGACCCTAGCATAATATCAAAAATCATATAAAAATTGTGAATCAGAGAAAGGTCTTCTATAATAACCATGTTAGGCCTCGTGCAATGATCACACTTTGGATGACTTGACACTTTATATTGGCTACAAAAGATAGCTTCAAAAAATTTGACATGATCAGGGATGATGGATGATGATTGCAGCTGGTTCTGTCGCATTGTTAAGATTTGTCACCGTGTTAACTAATGCCATCTTTGCCTGTGGGGGCTGCATTAGATATGATTAACAGATATTTACAAAATCAAACAAAATAAAATAGAAAAGTGTTGCGAGCATCACCAATTCTAATACTCTATTTTCAACACTCTCTCATGTGAT